GGAGGAGGCGCCCGACCCCGCGGCGCCCGAGTTAGGGGCGGCGGGTGAAGGCGGGGCGCCGGCCGCAACGGCAGGGCCGGCCGTGGAGGGCGCCGGCAGTAGGGCCCGTGGACCGCCAAAGCCCGGAGGCGGTCCACGAACCAGGCGTGCTCGTCCACCTGACGAGGTCGTCGATGGGCCGCCGGTGACGAGACGAGGAGGGGTGCCTGCTGCTGAAACGGGAAGACCATCTCATCAAAGTAAACGTGTCGGGAGGTGAAAACACGGTGAGAGACTGGATCGTAGCAGCGGTAGCCCTTAGTGTTAGGTGGGTAGCCGAGAAAGATGCAGGCGACGGAGCGGGGTGCGAGCTTATGAGGCGCAGTGGCAGCGATGCTAGGGTAGCACAGGCAGCCGAAAATGCGAAGCCCTTCATAAGAGGGGGGTGCACCGAAGAGAAGGTGGTGAGGTGTAAAGTTCCCGCGAGTACGACATGGACGGATGTTTATGAGGAGGGAAGCGGTGGCTAGAGCGTCAGGCCAAAAGCGCGGAGGCACATTGGCGTGAAAGAGAAGAGTCCGAACGCAGTCATTAAGAGTGCGAAGGATGCGCTCAGCACGACCGTTTTGCTGCGAGGTGTACGGGCAAGTGAGACGAAAAATCGTGCCATGTGTGGCGAGAAGATCGCGGACATCGGTGTTGTCAAATTCCTTCCCGTTGTCTGTCTGCAACGCAAGAATGGGCCGGCCAAACTGCGTGCGGACATAAGAGTAGAAGCCGACAAGAGTGGAGATAACGTCCGACTTGCGGCGCAACGGGAAGGTCCACACATAATGCGAAAAATCATCAAGGATGACAAGGTAATAAAGAAAGCCCGTATTACTTGCAACAGGAGATGTCCAAACATCACTATGAATCAACTCAAACGGGTACGATGCAACAAAGGAAGAAGCCCTAAACGGAAGACGAGCATGTTTGCCAAGACGGCATGCATGACACGAGTGATCCTCGTTCTTATTACACGTGAAAGAAAAACTCCGAAGTATGTGGCGAAGGGTGGCATGATTAGGATGACCCAAGCGAGCGTGCCAGAGATCCACTCCGGTGGCGAGAGCGACAGGGGCGGCGGAAGTGGTGGAGGCGGCGGAGTGAACCGGGTAGAGCTCGTCGGGGCTGTCACATCGGTGGAGCACCATCCGCGTGCGAGCGTCCTTAACAGAAAAACCACAGTCGTCAAATTCAACGGTCACCGGATTTTCACGTGTAAGAGAACGAACGGAAACGAGATTTTTGATAAGATCAGGAGAAACAAGAATATTAGACATGGATATAGGGGTGGAGTTAGACGGAAAATATGTATGTCCAATATGGGTGATAGGAAGAGAAGAACCATCACCGACGGTGATGCGGTTGGAGGTGTGGACAGGGTGGGCAGTATGGAGGTTACCGGGGTACGCCGCCATATGAGCGGTGGCGCCACTGTCCATGTACCAATCGCCGCCGCCGGTGTAGCTAGACGGGGAAGGGGCGGTGTGGAGAGCCGCCAGGAGAGCCGGGTCCCATGGTGCCGGCGGAAGAGACGGCGCAGACGTCAGGGGCAGCAGCGGCGGCCCGCCTGGCGGCGGCTGCTGCCCGTAGGGTGCCGCATAGGGCTGCGGCGCGGCGTAATACGCCTGGTGTGACGGAGGCCGAGTGCCGAGAAGACCCGGAGTAGGAGCCCGTGGAACCGGCATAGAATAGGCGTGGACGACGCCGGTCCACGAGTTCTGACCGGCGTACCACGGGGCCGCCGGCGGAGGAGCCGGCTGCTGCTGGCGTGGCGTTCCTCCCTGAGCCCTGCCGTCGCCTCCCTGCTTGCGGCCACCCCGGCAGCCGCCGCGACGGCCTCCCCCATTGCCCGCCGGCTGGGGCGGCGGAAAGGGGGCGGGTGGGGCGGGCGGGAAGCCCGGCAGGAAGGCGGGCGCCGCCTGCGGGGGCGGCGTCGGGCGAGACGGTGATGGGGCCGAACCCCCACGTGTGCCGGCAACGAGGGCGGTGTGGGTGGCGCGCGTCCTGGCCGCCCGCATCCGGCGTTCCTCCAGCTTGAGGTACGCGACCACTTTGCCAAAGGTGGGCTCCGGGATGAGGGTGAGGTTGGAGGCGGCGTTCCCGAAGTCCTCGTTGAGGCCGCCGGAGAGGATGCTGATGAGGAGCTCGTCGCCGATCTTCTCCCCCAGATCACGGAGCTCATCGGCGAGCTTCTTGAGACGCATGCAAAAATCATCGATGGACGAGTCAAGTTGCTGGCACCCATAAAACTCACCATAGAGGAGGACCTTGCGCTGCAGCTGATTGTCGGTGAAGAGGCCATTGAGCTTGGTCCAGACCGCATGGGCGTCGTCCTCGTCGTTCACCACGGTGTGGAAGATGTCGCTGGAGATGGTGAGGTAGAACCAGCGAATGATGGTGGCGTCGAGGATCATCCACTCCTCGTCATGGATCATGAGCGCGGAGTCCACGGTGCCGTCCACGTGGCCGTGAAGGAGGTACTCACGGAACACGAGCGAAAAGTACCGCTTCCACGCGGAGTAGGAGGCGGTGGTGTGGTCAAGCTTGACCGGGACGCGCTCATGGATGTTGAGGTCGCGGACGAGGGTGACGTCGGGACCGGCGAACGGGTTGGAGACTGTAGAGGAGGAGGAGCTCATGATGGCGGCGGTGATCGGGTTGGGGCGCGGCGCGAGTTACAGAG